CTACTGACGGTGGTTATTCTCTCCTTCTGATGTATTTTTATCATTACTTCTACTGACAGTGGTATTCTCTCCTTCTGATGTATTTTTATCATTACTTCTACTGACGGTGGTTATTCTCTCCTTCTGATGTATTTTTATCATTACTTCTACTGACAGTGGTATTCTCTCCTTCTGATGTATTTTTATCATTACTTCTACTGACAGTGGTTATTCTCTCCTTCTGATATATTTTTATCATTACTTCTACTGACAGTTGTTATTCTCTCCCTCTGATGTATTTTTATTTCTACTGACATTTGTTTTTTTCTTTTCCACTGGTGTATTTTTGTGTATGACCTTAAAGACATCTTCCGTTGTTTTCCCTACTGGTCAATTAATGAATAGTTTATATCATAAGGAATAGATAAACAACATTAACTTATTTTGTTATTTGCCTATTTACCGATAATCTCCAGTTTATCCTTACAGTAATAGTCATCATAATATATGACTTTGAACAGTTAGATTACAAATACTATTCTATCGATCTAAATTTTGGATTTCCTATTGTATATTGTAAGCTGTCTTGCATTTTACGTCAGCTATAAAATCCTAAGCCTTTGTATTAAACATTGGCTTCTATTCGAAAAATACGTCAACCAAGCGTCCCCTTTCCAACTGTTTTATTATATTATATCCAGTCTAGAAGGAAGGTACGTATTCCAGTTTTGGAAGCTTCAATTTACATAATTAGTAAACTGCCTCTATAGAGGCTAGCTAAAAAGAGCTAAAAAATAAAAATACTAATTAGATATAAACTATCGCTTATTTTTCTTGTTTTTTAAGGAACACAGACGTTTACTTAAATGTACATTTTTGTGAAGTTATAAACAATGTTCTAAAGGTTATAGATTATTGGATTTTTAAGATTTGATTAAGGCTGGAAAGCCACAAATTATGTTTTCTTGATAGTTTCACGTCCCTTCTTGAATTCAGATACCTGTGACTAATAATAATATTCACATTAAATTTATATCTTTCTCTTTCAAAATACGCTAAACGTGTGTTTCTTTTGTTTGTTTAACAAATGCTATACATTTCCTTTCATGTTTAGAAATACCTGAAATATGTCTCTCCTTTGAACCAAGTTTTACGACCATAAACATATGTTTTTATCTTGATCTTTATTACACTAATAGCTTTGTTACAATATAAATAATAATATGATGGAATTACTATCCAAATTTCGATAACTGTATTTCACGTATTTTTATTTACGCCAACATATTCACATATATGCTATTTTGTAATTTTTTGCGCCTTTTTCTCGTCAGCACGTGTTAAGCTACTTGGCAATCCCGCAACTTTTCCCTGCTTATTTTTCCATTAACCTAGCTGTTCTAGTTTTCTTGGTGTCAACCTATTTCCGTTAGTAGCACAAATAATTCAATTATTTTTGCATCTACAAAGCTGTTGTAACTCTGCCATCAAATATGTATAAACATGTAACGATAAAAATGGTCTCTATAATTAATTTAAAAAAAAAGTTTACCTGCGTCGTTCTTTATAAACAAAAATAGTTTAAATTGTATTATAATGCTCGATGATTCTGAGAAGCTTTCGACTGCTATAAATAGTTTTCACATTCTGCTTTACCATGTCCTGCTTTATCAACACATTTG